GTTGTTTCCTGGAGACCGCCATACTTGAGCCAAAGTACACCGTCATGGCATCTATGTCGCGTCGTTCTCCCGTATAAGGCGCTCCGTCTCGCAATTTATACAGAAGAAAGGGACTCTGGGTCTTCGGAGCCTCTTGCAGCGATGCGAAAGGTTCGATCCCGGAACAGTAAAGCACGGCTTTCGTTCTGGAAAGAAAAGTATTTATAGGCCCATTTGATAGTATGCTGCGCGCACCACTGGCTGAGGGTCGCATAGAAACGCTTGAAGCTATATGACAGACCGCAGAAGACAGCTACTGTTGGTCAAGAGTCTCTTTTTGTCGCGGCTCTGACCAGCACGGATGCGCACCGCGCGATATATGCCTCTACAGTAGCCATGGAATGTACGTTGTTGTGTGTGTGTGTGTGTGTGTGTGTGTGTGTGTGTGTGTGTGTGTGTGTGTGTGTGTGTGTGTGTATTTCCCCTCTGTGCGTCTGCATGACTGCAAATCTTTGTCCCTGTCGGTCTGGCTGTCGGGCTGTCTGGCTGTCTGGCTGTGTCTGGCTGCATTACACCCCCCCCCCCCGCCTTGTCCATCAATTCAACTGACCACCACCCCCATCCCTCGCTCCCTCACCACACGCTTCACCAAACAGATTGATGACCCTGAGGACGTGAAGCCTGACGACTGGGACGAGGACGCCCCCGCCACCATCCCGGATATGGACGCCACCATGCCGCCCGAGTGGGACGAGAGCGCGCCTGAGCTCATCCCAGACCCTGAGGCCGTGCAGCCCGAGGACTGGGACGAGGAGGAGGACGGCGAGTGGGAGGCCCCGCTCGTGCCAAACCCGGCATGCGACACGGGCTGTGGTCCCTGGGTGCGCCCCACCATCCCCAACCCGGCCTACAAGGGCAAGTGGAAGCCACGCAGGATCAACAACCCAAACTACATGGGGGTGTGGGCGCCGCGACAGATTCCAAACCCAGAGCACTTTGAAGAGAGCGACCCGTTCCACAAGCTTGCCCCGATTGGCGCAGCCGCCTTTGAGCTGTGGACGGTGACCAAGGGCGTGTCGTTCTCCAACATCCTCATCACGTCGTCGCACGAGGGGGCCGACGCCCTCGCCCAGCAGTGGGCGGAGAAGCGAAAGGCAGAGGACATTGCGTCCGGGGAGGGTGGACTTGCGTTCCAGCTCGAGCTCCTACTGGATGAACTGCAGGACAAGCCACACCTGGGCATTGCCGCCACGGCTGTTGTCGGCGGCATCATTGCGCTCATCTGCCTCCGCAAGCCACGCGAGCGCCCACGTGCCACGGGGGTGCGCCGTCCACAGCAGCAGCAGCAGGCTGAGGATGACGATGAACAGGAGGAGGAGGGAAACGAGCGACAGGAAAGGGAGCAGGACGGAGGTGACGATGGTGATGATGGTAATGAGCAAGATGGAGCTGGTGACGACGACGAAGGGGATGATGATGATGATGATGATGAGGATGAGGAGGAGGAGGAGGAGGAGAACAACGAAGAGGAGTGATGTGATCGCCTCACAGGTTGTCTTGTGTGTCTTTTTTTTTTTTTTTTGTTTCTTGCGCGTTTCTCCTGTTTGTGTGCTTGTTGTGTTTGAGTGAGTGTACGATACTGCTTGATGGTTGGTGTGGTGCTTCGTGCTGGTGCTTGTGCTTGTGCTGCATCACTCATGTCTCAGCGTTGTAGGCGATTCTCGTCTCTTGCCTTTTTGTGCTGGGGAGGGGGTCGTTCAATGACACCGAGATGGCCGCAGCCAATACAACGACAGCAACAAACATCATAATCCTATCCAAAAAAAAGAACAACCCCGTGCCTCAACGCAGCATGAACGCACCGCAATGACAGCAGAAGAAGAGCAGAAGAAGAGCAGAAACAACAACAACAACAAGTGGTGAACACAGTGGGGGTGCCATGATGTGAAGTGGTGAGACATGAGGAAAGACAAGACGCGGTGTGCAGCGCAAGCCACACCAGCGATCACAAGATGATTATGCACAAGCCAAACACCGAGTATCGGCAAGGAGCAAAAGGGGGGAATGGAGGAGAGTGGCACACCACACCAACCTGGCACTGTGTGTGTGTGTGTGTGTGTGTGTGTGTGTGTGTGTGTGTGTGTGTGTATGTGTATGTGTACGTGTGTGCGCGTGTTGTGGTTCATTGGGGAACCTTTTTGGAAGTGTGTGCGCACGTGAACGCCACGGCTCTAGACTTTGCGCTTCATGAGCGAGGAGATGCCCTGTGCGCGGAGGAAGTTGGAGGTTGACTTGAAGTTGTCCCAGATGGTCGGGAAGTGCACGTATGCAATGCCCTTCTTCTCGCAGAAGCGGCGTACAATCGGGGAGATGGCCGCGTAGTGGTTGTGGTGGATACGCGGGAATAGGTGGTGCTCAATCTGGTAACGCGGGCGAGGGCGACGAGGGTGGGTGGGGAAGGAAGAGCCGTACGGGTGTAAGTTGTGGTGGATGGAGTGCACGTGAGACAGCGAGAGAGTGCGTGCGTGTGTTTGTGTGCGTGTGTTTGTTTGTGTGTGTGTGTGTGTGTGTGTGTGTGTGTGTGTGTGTGTGTGTGTGTGTGTGTGTGTGTGTGTGTGATTACGTGCATATCTTTCGTGTGCATGTGTGTGCGTGTGTGTGATTACGTGCATATCTTTCGTGTGCGTGCGTGTGTGCATTCATCTTCGACATGAACAAGGGCTTCTCGAAAGACATGGCTGCACCACCTGGTAGTTGAGGCCACCGTTGAGTTCTGCGAGGAGCGCGCCGCCAACGTTTGAGGACGTGAGCACCTGCCGCCCCAGCAGCGTGTTCGGCAGCGCCTTCTTCGGGTTCACCGGGTCGGACGACGGCACGAGCTGATCAAGGGGGGGGGGAGGCGGGGTGGCAGGGTGGCAGGGGTGAGAATGGGGGCTTGTACCGTGGACGCGGTCACACACATCAGTACACACACACACACACACACACACATCAGTACACACACACACACACACACACACACACACACACATACAGTACACACACACACAACAACACACACACACACACTACGCCGACCCCTGGGTCTAGCTGTCAAAGGAGCGAGAAACCCCTTTGAGGGAGCTTCTTTCTCGCCCCGCGTGTTCTCCCAACGCCCGAACGTGAAACCGGTCATACGGTTGTCAAGCGGCTAACCACGCTCACCTCTCTGCCCGCCAGTGTGTTTATCGAATCCCATAGGGTATCCACATTTCGTAGGCCTGAATCAGCGCTCCGGGGTGCTGGCCTATACGGCGGTTAACCATGGCCCCTGACCCGACGAGATATCTGCTTTTGCGAGTCGCCTGGGGAATGAGGTTCCACCTATCGTTCACTCCCATAATTGTCCTACACGTACACACACACACACACACACACACACACACACACATCAGTACACACACACACACAAACACACACACACACACACTTTGTTGTTGACGACGTGGTAGACGCCCTCAAAGTTGTGCGAGAGGAGGAAGAAGAAGGCGAGATAGAACCCGCCAACCATCGCCATGACAGCAAGGCACGGCAGATACACCTGAGAGGGGAGATTGGAGAAGGTTGCGCGGGGTGAGATGGGACGATCGGTGTGCAAACACACAATGCTTCGGCGTCTTGATCGGTGACACAAGACAAGTAAAACGCACAACCATACACGTTGACAGACATACAGACACACAGACACACAGACGGGACAGACAGACACACACACAGACAGACAGACGGGACAGACAGACAGACAGACAGACACACACACAGGCACACACACACAGGCACAGGCAAACACAAACACACAACACACACACATACACGCACACACACACACAAGACACACACACACACAAGACACACCTGCCAGGAGTGGAGGTAGAGCGGGATGACGATGAGGCGGAGGGTCCACACGACACGCGCGGCGACCGAGGCCCACCAGCGCCAGGGGCGTACCAGCGGGCTGATGGGGACACCCTCGTACATGTTCATGAGGAGGTTGTACCAGTCTGCAAGCAGGACCTTGGTGGCGTACCCGGCCTCCAGCAGCACAAAGTAGACGTGCTGCAGCGCCTGCCAGGCGTACTTGCCATGCAGGGGGGAGAAGCGAAGCAGTGGGGTCTCAAGCATGTCCTTGTCGTGGTCGAGGTCATTGCACTCGACGTGGTGGATGGCCACGTGCTGCTGCAGCCACAGCAGGCTGTTGCCACCGATCCAGTCCTGGGCAAAGCCAAAGAGCGTGTTGACCCACGGCTTCGGGGAGAGCGAGCCGTGGTTTGCGTCGTGCTGGATGTTCAGGCCAATAAGGGCGACGAGGAGGCCCACAACGAAGCCCTTGAGCAGGGTCGGTGCCGTGATGAGCTGGTACTCGAAGAACATCTCCAGGGCCATGAGCAGGATGGCCTTGGCAAAGTAGCGCGTGGGCGCAAATCCTTTGTTGCGGTGGGTCTTGTACAGGAACGAGTTGACCTCCTTGCACAGCTCGAAAAAGTCCTCGTCCTGCTGACACGTCGACGAGGTGCTGGCCGTCATCCCCGCCTCTTTCTCCTAGGTGGTGGAGATAGCGCGCGCGTGTGAGAGAGAGAGAGAGAGAGAGTGTGTGTGTGTGTGTGTGCGTGTGTGTGTGTGAGAGTGTGTGTGCGTGTGTGTATGTGACAGAGACAGTGACGAAGGCAAGGGGTAGGTGCGAGCACACAATCCACACACGATCTACACACTCACTCACTCACTCACTCACTCACACACACAGCCACTCACACTCACTCACACACTCACACACTCACACAGCCACTCGCACACTCACACAGTCACTCACACACTCAACCACTCACACACTCACACGCACAGAGCACTCACACGCACAGAGCGCTCACACACTCACACACACACACTCACGCACACACACACACACTCACAGCCACGCACAGAGCGCATGTGCTTGCCTGTTGCTTCTCTTCGATGCGATACTGGGCCATTTTCTCGTGTGGAAATCGGCGGCGATGGTACGTGGCAAACGCATCCGACGCATCCCGGCCACCGTACAGCGCAACAAACGTGTGTCCGCCAGGATGCACACGCGCGAAGCGCTCCCCATCATACGCCCGCCCGTCAACAACCACGGTCGTCATTGTTCCTGTTTTGCGCTTCCTTGTTGGCGCAGTGTGGGCGCAGTGGTGCTGCTGTTGTTGATGGTGCTGCTACTTGCAGTGTGTGTGGTGTGTGGTGTGTTGTGCACCTGCTTCTCTGCTTGTGCGACGCAATGTGCGTTTGGCTGTCAGCACTTTTTCCTGCTGATACCAATATCCGACAGCACAAAACGCACCAGCTCAAAGCACAAGAAAATAAGTATTGTGCTGCCCGTTTGTTTTTCCTTGTGCTTGCCTGCATGCACGCGGATTCGTGCGACCTGATTGGTCCACTCGTGGGCTGGGCTTTGTTTTGCCTCTCTGCCTTCTTGTGGGGATCTCGCAAAAAGCGCACCTCACCCGCCAAACACCCCAAATCCACTGACCGCCAGCACCAACACCAAACACCAAACACCAAACACCAACCAACAACCAACAACAAGGTGGGGAACAACATGCAGCCACGCCACCCTCTGCGAGCTTAACTCTGTCATAGCTGCGCCACCCAACCTGTGCAAGTCTGCCCTCTACGCCTGCGTGACGCACCCACCTGCTTCACACACCCGATCGCGCATGTTTCATTGCTGCCTCTCATTGTGTGCATGCGTTTGCCAACCTCCCTCCCTCTCCCCCCTCTCTCCCTCTCCCTCTCTGCGCTGCGCGACACAGCTTCGCAAGCTGCCCGTGTGCTTGTTGTGCGCTGGGGTTGTTTGTCAGGCAGCAGCACAAACCTCCACGACCCACCACTCCCGAACAAGAAAGCACCACCCATCGGCACCGAGCCGTTCGCCCCTTTGCTTTCCTCCACAGCGTCTTGACCGGTACGCACCCTGCAGCGCACCCTGCAGCGCACCCGCTCGTTTTGAAGCTGAGGAATGGTCTGGTGGTCATTGAATGCATGCGAGCACACCAAACCCTCAGCCATCCACAGCGTGCGAGGGTTGCTCTGTTCCCATTGTGTCTGTTTCCATTCGTGCATGTTTTTTCATCGTTGTGCTCGTGCCTGCAAGCAACGCAAGCCAACAGAACGCAAACCAACGTATCGCACAACGGCCTGCGCTCACACCTCCTTTCTGCCGGCGCAATCGCAGCCAGCTCGTTTTCGTTCTTGCCACCGCTGTGTGTGCTTCAGGCCTTAAATCTACCACCTTGGTCCTTGCACGCAGCCACCGTCGCTGCTTGCTTGCTTGCTTTCCTTGCTTCCTGCGTGATACGGTACGGATAAGAACGCTGTCGCGACAGCATGCCTGTGTCCTGCCGATGTTGCTCAAACAGCTGCAGTTCGTGTACCGTCTTGTCGTTGTACTTCGTGTACATGTAGAGCTGTACAAGACGTTATGCACGAGTCCTTCATCCACCACTCCACTCACACACACACACTCACACACTCACACACTTACACTCACATACACTCTCTCTGTGTTTCAACAGCAACCATGGCGAAGACAGCACCTGTGGCGCTGCTTGCCATCGTTCTGACTGGCCTCCTGGCATCGTCAGCCTCTGCACAAGGTGTTGATTGGCGCCCCTCGTTACCATCGCACCCCTTGCCGTCACACCCCTTGCCGTCACACCCTTTGTCCTCGTTCACCTCCTCGTCCTCATGCGTCTTTCTCACGCTCATACACACACACACACACACACACACACTCATGTAGTGTGCGTGGATGGAGAGCTGGCGATTGATGGAGCCGATTACCGAGGCACCGTGAGCACAACGCGCTCCGGCCTCACGTGCCAAAAGTGGACGTCTTCGACCCCACACGCCCTTGCTCTTGATTTCTACCGCATCCACGGCGCGGTATGCATGACGATTCGGCTTTTGCTGCGATTTGTTCAACTTGAAACACACACATGAGCACATACATGAAGACATGAGCACCCCCATTCACGCACACACACTCACGCACACACACACGCACACTCGCTCACTCACTCACTCAACACAACATGCTGTATTCTATTCTAGGCTGCTGGCTTGGGCGACCACAACTACTGTAGAAACCCGGATGGAACTGTTGACTTTGACAACCTCCAGGCGGAGGTCGTGTGGTGCTTCACCACGGACCCTGCAACCCCATGGGACTACTGTGACCCTTGTACGTGCCCCGCCTCTCCTGACCTGCCGCTGAGGCTGATGACCAACAAGTGAAACACACACTCACTCACACTCACACTCACTCACACACACACACTGCTCTGTACTCGATCAATACTCACTTCCCTGAATCCCCCCACACACCCACACACACCTGCCGTTTTATGTTGACCGTTACAGGTGCTGTGGCAACGACGCCGGCGCCAACCTTCCCCACTCTTCCAACTGAAGACTATGAACTGACGTACACGGGCGTCAACGGCGGCAACTCAAACCCACGGCGCTTTGCCACTGCGTTTGATGATGCCTCTGTCATCGGACGGATGGCGGGTGTGACGTTGGCCGACTGCACAGCCAGCTGCTCCGAATCCAGTGACTGTGTCGGCTTTGTCGCCTATTACCTGAGTGGCGAGGTGAACTTGCGCTGCAATCTGCTCAGCAGAGCAGAGGGCGCCGTCAGCACCCAGCTCCAGATTGTCAGCTACACTCGCGTCAGTTTCCCCACAACTTCTACCACGACCACGACGACGACCACCACCACCACCACAACAACAACAACAACAACAACAACAACATCATCAACAACAACAACAACATCATCATCATCAACAACAACAACATCATCATCAACAACAACAACAACAACAACCACAACCACAACAACAACAACCACAACCACATCAACAACAACCACATCAACAACAACATCAACAACAACGACGACCACCACCACCACAACCTCCACGACGACCACGACAACCACCACCACCACCACCACAACCTCCACGACCACAACTACAACCACATCAACAACAACAACCACGACGACGACCACCACAACTTCAACCACAACCACAACCACGACCACAACTACAACCACTACCACAACCACAACCACCACAACCACAACATCGACCACAACGACCCTAACCGGCGAGCCAGACCAGATTGTGTGTGTGAACGGCCAGCGTATTCAGGGCGGGCCCTGCTCCTGTCCACCAGGCTGCCACGCCTGCTCGCCTGTGGCGTGCATCATCTGCCGCGACTTCCTGTTCCTCGCAGAGGGACAGTGCTACGATGTGCGTGAGCGTGCCCAATGGCGCATCCTTCGTTTGCTGGCTTGTGTGTGTGTGTGTGTGTGTGTGTGTGTGTGTCATGCTTGCGTTTGTGTATGTTGATCCCAACATCCTCTGTGTGTGTCAACCGCACTGACGACTCCCTTGCATGCTTGTCTCCTTCTTTTACGACAGACGTGCCCGGATGGCTATTACGAAGGTGCCGTGTCCGAATTTGGCGCCAAATGCATCGAGTTTACAACCTCCACTTCTACGTCAACCTCCACCTCCACATCCACGTCAACTTCAACCTCCACCTCCACATCCACGAGCACCTCCACCTCGTCCAGCACATCGACTTCTACCTCCACGTCCTCAACGTCTGAGATCCCAGAACTCGAGCCCAACGACCCATTCTGTGTCGGCAACATTCGCGTGGACAATGGCATGCCGTGCACGTGCGAAGTGGACTGCTTCTCCTGCACGCGCCGTCGCGAGTGCATTGTCTGCAAGAATGGCGCCTACCTCTTCGAAGGGGAATGCCTGGAGGTGAGCGCTTGGGTCTTGCTTGTTCGCTTCACAACCATGCTACCTCGCGCTTTCAGTCACACTCGTTCATTGCAGAATCACACACATTCATACCATGATGAAGAGCCCTTGAAGCACATTTCATTTCTGCTGTGTACCCTGCCCGACTGCGCTCTGCAAGTGCCGTTGCCCACACCACACGTCTTCTCACGCTTGTTACTCCCCCTCCCTATTGCCTCTGCACCCCATGCATGTGTAACTGCAGACATGTCCGTCAGGCTACCGTGGTGAAGGTCTCGGTGACTTCCGCCGCCGCTGTGTTGAGTTCACAACATCCACCTCCACCTCAACTTCAACCTCCACTTCCACTTCATCATCCACCTCCACTTCCTCCTCCACTTCAACCAGTACATCGACCTCTACCTCCACCTCGTCCAGCACATCGACATCCACCTCCACGTCCTCCACATCTGAGATCCCGGAGATTGAGCCCAACGACCCATTCTGTGTCGGCAACATTCGCGTGGACAACGGCATGCCGTGCACGTGCGAAGTGGACTGCTTCTCCTGCACGCGCCGTCGCGAGTGCATCGTCTGCAAGAATGCCGCCTACTTGCTCGAGGGCGAATGCCTTGAGGTGCGACCGCAGCCATGTTGTTGTTGCATTTTTGTTGCATGTATCAGCCGTGCCCTGCTCGTGATACGGATAAGCACCTGTGTATGTATGCCAATGTGTGCTGCAACATCTCACCGTTGCTTTGTCTTTTCGTCCTCGCCGTTGTGTCATTACTGTTGATGACAACAGATGTGTCCCTCGGGCTACCGTGGCGAAGGCCTTGGCAACTTCCGTCGTCGCTGTGTCGAGTTCACAACATCCACCTCCACCTCAACTTCAACCTCAACCTCGACGTCTTCCACATCCTCAACCTCCACATCGACCTCTACCTCCACCTCGTCCAGCACATCGACATCCACCTCCACGTCCTCCACATCTGAGATCCCGGAGATTGAGCCCAACGACCCATTCTGTGTCGGCAACATTCGCGTGGACAACGGCATGCCGTGCACGTGCGAAGTGGACTGCTTCTCCTGCACGCGCCGTCGCGAGTGCATCGTCTGCAAGAATGCCGCCTACCTGCTCGAGGGCGAGTGTGTTGAGGTGCGTTCACCCGTCTACCTCCTCTTTCTTGGCTCACCTGTCGTTCTTCTTCTGCTTCCCTAATGTCTCCCCACCCAACACCATCAGCATGTGCCTTCTTGTGTACCTGTATGTGCGTCTCTGCGCGCGTGTGTGTGAGTGTACACTTCTGTGCGTGTGTTTGTAGTTTCCTCTTCTTCTTGTTACTTGCTCTGTCAGAGGGGTTAACGGCTGTATGTTCCCTCTTGTCCTTGTGTGCAGGCATGTCCCTCCGGCTACATCCCTGCAGGCAGCGGCAACTTCCGCCGTCGCTGCTCGCCCGTGACCACCTCAACCTCAACCTCCACCTCCACCTCCAGCACGAGCAGCACATCCACATCATCGTCCACGTCCACATCATCATCCACGTCGACGTCAAGCACCTCTTCCACATCCACATCATCGTCCACATCCACCTCTTCCTCCACATCCACCTCCTCCTCCACCTCAACATCCACGTCCACCTCAACCTCAACATCTTCATCCACATCGACATCGTCGTCCACCTCCACTTCAACGTCCACGTCCACCTCCTCATCGTCGTCGTCGTCATCCTCCACTTCCACCTCCACCTCCACCTCCACTTCAACCTCCACCTCCACCTCTTCCAGCACATCGACATCCACGTCCACCTCCACCTCCACATCCACAAGCACCTCCACCTCTTCCTCATCTTCCACATCATCCACATCATCCACTTCGACGTCCACGTCGACCTCTACATCGTCATCATCATCCACCTCCACCACTTCCTCTACCTCCACGTCGAGCTCAACGTCCACATCGTCGTCATCATCGACATCCACAACGTCATCCACCTCAACCTCAAGCTCCACCTCCACTTCCACCTCATCCTCCTCCACCTCTGAGCTGTTTGGGCTGGATCCCGAGGACCCGTTCTGTGTTGGCCGTCGTCGCGTCGACAATGCCATGCCCTGCACGTGCGAGGCAAACTGCTACTCGTGCACACGCACCAAGGACTGTGTGGTTTGCTCCAACGCCCAGTACTTGCTGGATGGCGAGTGCTTGGAGGAATGCCCACCTGGCTACCACGGTGAGGGGCAAGGCAACTTCCGCCGTCGCTGTGTGGCGTTCACGTCGTCCACCAGCACGTCCACATCCACATCCACGTCGACATCCACAACATCATCCACGTCCACGTCATCGTCGACCTCAACCTCAACCTCATCCTCCTCCACCTCCGAGCTGATTGGCTTGGACCCGGATGGCCCGTTCTGTGTTGGCCGCCGTCGCGTTGACAACGGCATGCCCTGCACGTGCGAGGCAAACTGCTACTCGTGCACACGCACCAAGGAGTGCATTGTTTGTTCCAATGCCCAGTATTTGCTGGACGGCGAGTGCATCGAGGTGGGTTGTCTCACCACACCCGTGCCTTCTATGCGTGTGTGTGTGTGCCTTGTGCGTGTGTGTGTCTGTGTGTGTCTGTGTGTGCGTCTGTGTGTGCGTGTCTGTTTGTCTGCGTGCATGTCTGTCTGTCTGTCTGTCTGTCTGTCTGTCTGTCTGTCTGTCTGTCTGTGTCTCCACGTGCACGGGGCGCCTGCAGTTTTACGTTTGCGTCCCATTTCATCCCTGCCTTCAACTTTGACACCAGACACCACCTTACGCACTTGCACGTGCATTTTCGGTTGAATGTGCTCACACTCCATCCCATGTCACACACTCACACCCAATGTACCGCTGCTGCTGTAGTTGTGTCCATCTGGCTACCACGGTCAAGGGCAAGGCAACTTCCGTCGCCGCTGTGTCGCATTCACATCGTCCACCAGCACGTCCACGTCCACGTCGTCATCGACCTCGACATCAAGCACGAGCAGCACGTCCACATCCACATCGACATCCACGTCCACGAGCACGTCCACGTCCACCTCTACCTCCACCTCCACGTCGACGTCAACCTCCACCTCCTCCTCGACCACCGCGGCACCGTCGCGCTACGAGGTGCGCTTTGAAGGCATCCAGGGCCTCGACGGAAACCCGCGCCAGTTCTCCACAGCAGAGGACCCTGCCGCCATCATCACCACCATGTTTGTGCCATCTGTGGTTGCGTGCAGAGACGCGTGCCACGAGGACGGCATGTGCGCCGGGTTCTTCGTTGTGTTCTACTCGCCTTCGTTCGTGTGCACCCTTCTCAATGACATTGGCACCGCAGAGGGCGTTCCCTCCTCCACCGCTTCTGTCAGCGTCGAACGTGTGCTGCTGGTTGAGACGACCACAACCACGACCACAACCACAACCACGACGACCACCACGTCTTCCACCACAACGGTGACCACGACAACGAGTGGACAAGTGTGCATTGGCGGACGCACCATGGAGACGATGGAACCATGCTCGTGCCCTTCCAACTGCTTCGAGTGCACGGGCTCTGTGTGTTTGCGCTGCCAAAACTCCTTTGTCCTCTTTGAGGCATCGTGCGTCATGGACTGCCCCCAGGGCTACACTCTGGTAAGCGCCTCACATGTGCGCTGCATCGTGTGTGTGTGTGTGTGTGTGTGTGTGTGTGTGTGTGCACAAGTGTGGCTGGACCTTCACCACTTGCTCACCCACGGTTCCGTTGTGTTTGTTAACTTCACGTGTGCGGTTTTGCGATGCAGGAGCTTGTGCAAGACGTCTGGACTTGTGTGTGGGATAACATGTCTGGTGACTCTTCTGGTGACACGCCCACGACCACGTCAACCGTGCCCCCAACCACCGCAACCACCACCACAACAACTACCACAACTACGACGACAACCACAACTACAACCACGACTACCACGTCAACAACGACCACGACAACTACTTCTACCACGACCACGACAACAACGACCACGACAACCACTTCTACCACGACCACAACAACAACAACAACAACAACAACAACAACAACAACAACAACAACAACAACAACAACAACAACAACAACAACAACAACAACAACAACAACAACAACAACAACAACAACGACGACGACGACGACCACCACCACCACCACCACCACCACGACCACCACAACCTCCACGACAACCACTACGACGACGACGACCACCACCACCACCTCCACGACCACGACCACAACAACCACCTCAACAACCACCACCACGATGCTTGTGGTGACAAGCACCACGACAACGACGACAACAACAACGACCACCACGACATCTAGCACAACGGACACTGGCAGTGGATCTATCACGCTGAGCATGCCAGACACGACAACCAGCACAACCACCACGAGCACACCTGTTGTTGTGACAAGCACGACCACCACAACCACGTCGTCATCCTCGTCGTCTGTGGAGCTTCCCATCATCAACTCCACCCTTGACCGCCCCTTCTGCCTCGAGGGCGAGCCGTCGTTCCTTCGCCTGCAGCTGGAAAAGGGCTTCTCCAACAGCCAGGTTGCCGCGGCTTTCCGTACGGACGGGTCTGGGTTGCTCGTGTACGCCGGCCCCGAGGCGGGCGGAAGCGACTTCCTTGCGCTCCTCGTGTTTGATGGGCAGGTGATCTTTGCCTTTGACACGGGCGATGGCGTGCAGCTTGTGGCCACGGCCGGCACCAACTACACCGACGACAACTGGCACATGGCTGTTGCGGACCGCCGCACGGTTGCTGGCATTGCTGTCTTTGTCACACTTCGCGTCGACGACGAAACCATTGAGCAGTCCTTCCCCATTGTGCGTGGACACGTGTGTGTGTGTGTGTGTGTATGTGTTGAGAGTATTGGGGGGAGGCAAGAGAGAGAGAGTGTGTGTGTGTGTGAATCAGTGAGAGAGAGGGAGAGGGAGAGAGAGTGTGTGTGTGTGTGACGTGCCGTGCCATGCTTGTGATGTCATAGCATATCCTTTGCTCAAGCAAGCTCGATGCTCACGCTCCATGTTACTTCCTTACACCTCCTCCCCCTCACTTCTTTTTCACCCCAGGGCGACTCTGGCGGCGCCCTGCAAGTGTCCGAGCTGCTGTATGTTGGCGGCACGGACCAGGAGCTGCCGCTGCCGCTGCGCGCGTTTGAGCCGTCCAACTTCCAGGGCTGCCTCGACCACGTCACCTTTGACGGCGTCGACATCTCGCTTGATTCCCCACTGCTGCTTCGCGCGTTTGGCGTTGCGCGCTGCTCGCAGGCGCGCTTCGACACGGAGCGCTCGTATGTGCTCTACAACGACGTGCTGTCGACGGCGGAGGAAGAAAGCGCCATTTCGCTGCAGTTCAAAACCCTGGACGCGGACGGCGTTTTGCTGTACATTGGCTCCGCCAACGCGTCGGCCGATTTTGTTTCGCTCACGCTGCGAAGTGGACAGGTTGTCCTGCAGCAAAATTTTGGCGATGGCGTCTCATCCGTTCAAACAGCGCAGAGTAAGTTGTTAAGTTGTACTGCGGTTGAGACACATGTGCCTTGTGTGTGTGTGTGTGTGTGTGTGTGTGTGTGTGTGTGTGTGTGTGTGTGTGTGTGTGTGTGTGTGTGTGTGTGCTTGAGTGTTTTTTGATTCGATTCCTCAATGTGTCCTCGCATCCTTCTCCACCAGACCTCACATGTGTCCCCCTTCCCCCCCCCCCCTTTCTCTCCGCCCGTGTTTGTGTTGCTGCTTCTTTCACCTTTCCCGCAGTTGGCGGTTTCGCGGATGACATGTGGCACCGCGTGGACCTCGCTCGCTCGGGATCCATCACGGTCATGGTTGTCGACTCAACACAGTACCCGCCCGCCTCCAACGTGAGTTGTGTGACATTCGGCGTCTCTTCTTCTTCTTCTTCTTCTTCTTCTTCTTCTTCTTCTTCTTCTTCTTGTGTTGGGCTGTCGTGTCATTTTGGGGCTGCGAATTTGCACGTGCAAGCAGTCATCATCTCTGGAGTAGTGGAGTGGCTTTCTGCATCTCATCGACGCTTCGACGCTTGCTCCTCATTCCATGCTCTGCTTTCCTGTCGTGCCTCACTATCACCGCAACACCGCAACACCGCAACACATCACCGTCACGCTACAAACTGCCATTCCTAACGTCAAACGAATCCACAACCACCACCGCCACCACCAATGGCAGAGCGAGCGCGTGCTCAACACGGACGGAAATGTGTTTGTGGGCGGCGTGTCGCAAGAGGCCCAGGCACCAAACTTCCAAATGCTGCACGCAGACGGATTCACGGGCTGCATTCGCGGCGTGAATGTCAACGGCGCCGCCCTCTTGCCAACAATGAGCACAGCGGACATCAGCCTTGGGGTCCAGGCGTGCGCCAGCTGCAACTAGACGACAAACGAGAAGAAGACTTATTCTGTTTGCACCCGTGTGTGTATATGTGTGTGTATGTGTGTGTGTGGGGGGGGGGGGCAGCTGTGGCTGGGGCCGCTGCTGGCCTCTCGTGTTCCTTACGCTTTTCGGCCTCGTGTCATTTTCATTCATCTTTCTTCGTTCTCACTGTTCTTGTGTACGTGTGTGTGTGATTTGATGAGTTATACAGTAGCCCCAACTTCTTCTGCCTTGTCATTGTTTTGCTTCGTGGTTGCCGCTCTCTTGTGCGACAGCCGTTGTTACTTTCTGAGCCTGTGTGTGAGTGATGTGTGTGTGAGTGATGTGTGTGTGAGTGTGTGTGTGTGTTCGTGATGTTGGGTGTCTTGCTGTGTATAGAGAGGGTCCTCCTGAGCATGTGCTGTGCGGTTTTGTTGTGTCGTTCTTTGTGTTCCACGTGCACTGACACGAGCTCGTGTAATTAAACAAAGCTGCTGGGAAAACAACGAAAGGTGGAAGATTGGTTGACATGAACTGAAATCGAATGGGAAACCATCCATGACATCCATGCTGAGAAGAAAGCAACAACAATGACAAAGCACTGGACCACAGCATCAGCTGTTTCTGGGACACCCTCTCCCTCCCTCCCTCCCTCCCTCACACACACACACACACACACACACACACACACACACACACACACACACACACACACACACACACACACACACACACACACACACACATGCAAGTTCAAGCAGCAGAGTGCCACTTTGGCGCTGGGCGAGAGATATCTTCCTCCACCTCATCTGCCTCTTCTTCCTCTTGCTTCTCCTTGACAGCATCACTGCCCTGCTCACTCCCGGGCACCATGCCACCATCCTGTGCTTCCTCCTCGCCCTTCTGCTCCTGCTTGTCGTCTTCCTTGTCACCAGCTGCTGCGTTGTCGTCTGTTGGCGGGAGTGGCGCCTTCAGGCTCTCTTCAAGTCGAATCTTCTCAATCACAAACGCAGTCGCATCCTCCTCCTCCTCCTCCTCATCATCATCGTACTCCTCCTCCTCGCCGTCATCATCATCATTGTCGCCTTCTTCGTCTTCTTCATCATCTTCTGCGTGCAGCAGCTGTTCCACGTGGATACCTCTTTTCCTTGTCTTAGGCTTGGGAAGTATATAATTTAAGAGCCCACATGTGCCACCGCCCCCCCAAAACGATAGCATCTGACTGCATTCCATGCAGGCGTTTGTCTAAATGCCCTGGGGTTGGCATTGAGCTCTTGTTGTGCATGTGAGAACGGTGCGACACCCCATATGTCTACCTTGCTGTCAGAGAATCGAGTAGTTAGCTGGAGCGTGTGTTGTTGTTGTTGTTGTTGTTGTTGTGTGTGTGTGTGTGTGTGTGTGTGTGTGTGTGTGTGTGTGTGTGTGTGTGTGTGTGTGTGTGTGTGTGGTGATTGTGTGAATTAAAGCCGATGAGAGCGTGTAAACGCGCAGGCACAACACAAGCGAAGTTGAGGTTGGTGTGGGGGCTTGACAAGACACCACCGCTCCCAATCCCACCGCGTGACCAGGCGTGTGCACGCATCGCACCTGCAAGTTTTCTTCGCCAAGCATTTCCTCCAGTGATTGGCGCAGGTCCTGCTCCTCGTCTTCGTCCTGCCGTGGCGTGGAACGAACGCAACAAACAAACGTTGGGCCCAGCGTATGTTTGAGAACAATTTGTTGAATCAACAGGAAATGTAGCAAACACGTCATCCCCCATCACACACACACACCAGCAAACAAACACACACACACGCACACACACACACACACACACACACACACACACACACACAAACACACACGCACACGCACCTCTGTTTCCTGGATGCTCTGGATGAGCGAGTATCCTTCAAGGAAGAGGTCCTCCCCCAAGTTCTGCTCGAGCGAAACGCGCGTCTCCTCAAGCCGCTGGAACAAACTCTTCCCGCTCTCCTCCGCCTTCCTCGCAGCCGTCGACGTCGACGATGCACGGGTGCCCGCTGCTTTCGTGGTGCTCACGCCCGCCTTGATACCACTGCCATCGCCATCATCGCTGCCCGTAGTGCCGGGTTGCTCGTCCTGTTTGGATGAGGTTGACAGCATCTGCTGCATGGAAGCGAGCATGGCATCCATGTCGTCGTCGTCGTCGTCGTCGTCGTCGTCACCAGCACCGCCACTGCCGCTGTCCACTTCGCCTTCTGTCTTGGGGGGCTGGCGCAGACACGCAAACATGAGATGCACGCACACACATGGGATGCACGCACGCACATGGAATGCACACACATGAGATGCACGCACACACACAACACAAGGTAACAAACGTTAGGTCAGAGACTGCATGAAGACATGCAAGTTCTGTGCGCGAGCACCCACCGCTGCAACATGTGTGTGCGTGCACCTGTGTCACATACCTTGAATGTTTTCTCCTGTTCTTCGTCTTCATCGTCATCGTCACCGTTGGACGTTTCCTCTTCGAAGAAACTGTCATCGCTCTCGTACCCGTCCCCTTCATCATCACCATCACCATCACCATCACCATCGCCATCACCATCACCATCGCCGCCGGCTGCCGGCTTTGCTTTCCGTTCTGGCGCCACCAAAATCTTCTTCAGCGAAGCGAGCATCTCCTCATAGTCCTGCATGGAGCAGATGGGCGGCAGGTTGTGGGAGTGCATGGCACGGCATGAGAATCTGTGAGGATGTGAACGAAAGGTGGCATCCACAAGGCGGGACAATGAACGACACTCACTTGCGCATTCTGGACACAAGCACACCTACTCGACATACACATATGCGCAGACATACACATATGCGCAGACACACACACTCATACACGCAAAAGCGCGCAGTACCGAGTCATCATGGCTGTCCTCATCGCTGGCCTCCTCGTCCTCTTCTGCTTGCTGCTCTTCATTCTCTGTTGCCACCGCCGCTGCTGCTGCTGCCTTCACTGCCGCGTTCTGTGCAGCTGCTCCTACAGATTCACTATCTTCCGTCTCAATCTTCGTTGTCGCCGTCGCAACGACACTCCCAACAACGGTGGTTGCCGTACCCGCGCCACCACCATCACCACCCTGCTGCATCTGCATCTGCATCTGCTGCTGCTGGGCTGCGCCGGCGATGACCGTGGTGCCATCCAACGTGATGGCGCCCGTGCCAACAGGGACGAGCTTGATTGGGTTGGGCTGCCCGCGCGACCAGTGCTTGCGCTGATCCGCCGTCAACTGCTCGCCCTCCTCCCCTCCTCCCTCCTCTTGTTGCTGCTGTGACGACGCCACAACGACGGTACCAGACCTGACAGCAATTGGGAGGGGGATGTGGCATGAGGGAATGGGGAGGACAGCAGCATGAGAGGAGTGTGGGTGGGGTGGTTGGTTTGTTGATGAGCTCGGGTGTGGTGAACCTGTGGAGCTGTGGCGCACAAATCAATTGACACAAGCACAAGCCTCACAAACATCAGATGTTTTGTGTGTGTGTGTGTGTGTGTGTGTGTGTGTGTGTGTGTGTGTGTGTGTGTGTGTGTGTGTGTGTGTGTGTGTGTGTGTGTGTGTGTGTCAGCTCATTCAGCTGGTGCGGCCTGCGACTCACTGCACGGGCTTGACGGTGCCGAGGACAGGGATGTGCTCTGGTCCCTTTGCGCCCCACTTGCGCCGGCGCTCATTTTGCTCTGCACAACACGAGAAAGGTGATGGGCGGATGAATGAATGAATGGGTGGATGGATGGATGGATGGAAGGACAAGCAAAAGGATCGTCATGTCACTGCGTGAGAACGGTTAGACGCAGGCCAGCAATGCCGCGAAACTGACGCAAACATAACACATTCCACGACAGTGCATTGCATGGGCAGCAGCAACAGCGTTGGTTCGCTGATGAGCACACGAACGCATAAGATCACATGAACGCACGAACACGCGTGATCACTTGAACGCACGGCGTTTGGCGACGAGGGAGGCCTCAAGTTCCTCCTCAGTCAACTGCACAGCATCAGATGCACATGTCACGTGGAGGTGGTGCGGCGGCGAGATTGTCAGCAATCGTCGTCCAATCTCACAACATCTATGCATGGAATACGCCACCCACGCATGGGTTCTCATTCCGCTTGTCAAGAGTCACTTTTACGGCAACACCATCTCACGCGCAAACTGAACACACACGCACACACGCACACACACCATAACCATATCGTGTACGTGCATGACGTTTGCCCCTCCCTCCCCCTCCCCACTTTCTCACCTGATCCAGCCACGCCTGGACGATATTCGGGGGCGCCGTCGTGTCTGGTGGTGGCGCCGCAACCTTCATGGTCGTCGAGTCAACACCCGGCCCAGCAGTGCGTGCGTCCCCCTCCTCTGCCTCCTGCTTCTCCTTCTTGTCTTCCCGCTGCGACGGTTGCCTGCTCTTCTGCTTCTTCTTCGCGTTGCCGTCGTCGTCACCACCAATCACCCACGCCTGTGGTGGCAGCCGTGGCGGTGCCTGCTGTGCCCGGCCAGCTGCCACCACCACCTCTCGCTGTTGCTGTTGCTGTGCGGGGACGGGCGCTGCTGGGGCAGCGTCGCGGCGCTCAACAGCAGCAACCAACGTCCGCAGCCCGGCTGTACAGGTCACCACCGTGGCGGTGGTGGTGATGGTGGTGGTGATGGTGGTGGTGATGGTGATAGGTGAGGGACAAGTTGAAGAAAGGGAGTGGGGGCAGAATGGGCGAATGAAACCAAACGCGGATCGACACGCAGCGCAACGCATCTTACGTTGCGACTTGGGCTGGGCAGGTTGCTGCTGCTGCTGTTGTGGTTGTTGCTGCTGCTGTTGCTGTTCTTGAGGTTGAGGGGGTTTCTTGTCTGCGTCGAACCAGCTTGGGTCGAGGGGCAGGCCCTGGGCGCGGGCGCGGTTGATCATCGCCTGGCGGTTGCGCTCCTTAAAGTCGTGCACAACGCGCCGCTGGTACGCGTCTGCACACACACAGACACACATGTGAGGGAAAGGAGGAAGGAGTGTGACAGCGTGCGCATGTGAGTGTGTTGCATGTATGTATTTATGCATCACATTTGCCGGAGCGAGGGGTGAAATTGATTGCACACACACACGCACGCACACACACCCACACTCACACACTCACTCACACACACACACACACGCACCTTGCGGCCCTGCTGCGCGTGCGGCCCTCTTCTCCAGCATGCGCTGGTGGCGCTCCTGAACATTCCGCTCGTAGTCCTGTCGTCATTGGCACGATGGTTCATGGCGGCGTGTCACCCAACACGAATGGGTGAGGTGGGGGCGCGATAAACAAAGAGACATCTGACAACATGCCAATACACGCTATTGCAGCACCACTGACTGTCATCGCAATCACAGTAATCACCACCACCACCACCACCACCACCACCACAATCACCACCACCACCACCACCAATACGGCACCTCCTCCTGCTTCTTCTGCAGCGCTTTGAATGCGCGCACGCGGTCGTCCTCCTCATCCGCTTTCTCCTTCCGCCGGTTCGACACGGGTGCACGCGAACCCTGGTGGTGATGGCGGGTGGTGTTAATGAATGAGTGCAGAGGTGGAAAACGAGGACAGACAGTCATGCGGAACCAAGTCGACACACACACACACACACACACTCGCTCACTCACGCACGCACACGCACACGCACACACACACACACACACACACACACACTCTCTCTCTCTCTCTCTCTCTCTCTCTCTCTCTCTCTCTCTCTCTCTCTCTCTCTCTCTCTCTCTCTCTCTCTCTTTCCACCCCACCCCCCTCCTTCAACTTCCACAAAGAACGGGCGCACCTTGATGCCGACACCCTGCACAGCGGGAACACGGCTGCGTGCGGGCGCCTGCGCGGCGCTTGTGGGGCGAGGTCGCGGCTTACGCTGCAGTGGCACACCGTATTTGGCAGCCGGCGATGAAAACTTGGAGAATTTCGACTTGGCGCTGGCCTTGAGGGCGGCGCGGGAGCGAGGGGCGGGCCGTGCACGCGGGTTACGATCACGCGCCGCTGCTGATGACGATGATGATGGCGGTGGTCGACGCGCTGCTGCTGCTGATGATGAGGATGATGTTGTTGATGACGATGATGGTGGTGGTGGTGTCTGTCGGGGAACGCGGCGCTGCTGGGGCTGCGCGAGGGAGGGCCGGCTGTTGGCGTGGAGGACCGTGTGGGAGAACTCGTCCGCATAGATGGTCTCGCCAAGGAACTTGGCAATGCGCTTCTTGATGAAGGGCATACGCAGGATGGCGTTGACAGAGGGGCGGTCCTTGGGGCGCCGCGCAAAGCACTGCAGCGGGATTGGGGGTGGGAGGTGATGGATACTATGAGGTGGAGGCAGGATCATGCACTGACGTGATGTGATGGCGTGCTCCGTGTGGCGATAAGCAAGGAGCGTGCATGGTTTGGTGGGTTGTCAACACAGGAGGACGCATGCGCGGACAACCACAAACAAAGAAAACGCACACACACACACACATACAAATGCAAATACACGCACAAACACATACAAATGCAAATACACAAACAATGCAAATGCAAACACAAATACAAATACACACAAACATACAAATACAAGCACACATACGAATACAAATACACGCCCCTCACCCACCTTGTTGATGAGGTCCCTGAGGTTCTTGCTGTAGTAGCTGGGCGGGGGCGGGTAGCTGCCGCGGATAATCTTCAACACCAGCCCACGCATGTTGCCGGCCTCAAACGCGTGCTTCAGCGTCGTCATCTCATACAAAATGCAGCCAAGCGACCAGATGTCGCTCTTGTTGTTGTACGGCTTGTTCTCGCAAATCTCCGGCGAGAGGTAATACGGTGTGCCAATGGCCGTGCGCGCAAGCTCCTGCGTGTTCTTCAGCACGCGGGCAATGCCAAAGTCGCCCAGTTTGATAATGTTGTCGCGCGTGAGGAAGATGTTCTGCGACTTGAGGTCGCGGTGCAGAATCTTGCGGTCGTGCACGTGCTTCAGCGCAAGGCACAGCTGTACAAACCTGCACAACGTGTAATGGGTGCACATGGTAAGAGGTAAGGGCGATGAGCTCTGGAGAGAGGGGGGAGGGAACTTGACTTCGTTTGGGTGGAGCGTGGTGAATGGTCAAAGCGGGAGACTACAGGCGATACGCAACCCGCAGACTCGAGCAACGAAAAGGAAAACAGCCACTCAACTTGCCAACACGCAACGCTGCAACTGTGTTCGTACACACACACACGCACACACACACGCAAGCTCACACACACACGCGCACACACACACACACACAAGCTCACCAGTCGAGGATTTGCTCCTCTGGGAAGTGAACGCCCTTTTGGCTGTTGATCTTGCCATACAGATCGCCTGCAACAGAATGCAAACACAAGTTCCATGACGCAGGCATCAGGACAACGACAAACGAGCAAGCAGCCAAGCGGGGCGGTACAAGAACTACGGCAAGCACCCATAACATGCTCGCGGGGGAACACATTTCTACACACGCGCACAAACGTGCAGCCATGTAGTCATGCATGCACGTAAACCGGCGTACCTCCGGCGCAGTAGTCCATGACGATGTACAGCTTGTTTCGCTCTTCGAAGGATTCCTTGTACGAGACGATGTTTGGGTGCTTCATCTCCGCCAACACCTTCACCTCCTGTCGGGACTCTTTCTTCTCCTTGTATGACATCTATTGCAAGCGAAATAAAAAGGGAGGTAAGTGCTGTTGAAGCGGTGCGACGCAACATCGCACAAGTCCCTCACAGCAACCCTCCAAGGACCTCCAACAGATTTTCACCACACACACACACACACACAACACACACATGACAAATACACACACGACACACACACACAACACACCACACACACACAAACAACACACCACACCACACAACACGACACACACAACACACCACACACCACACAATACACGACACAGAGCACACGCACAACCATAACCACCTTGGAAAGGTTGATCTCCTTGATGACATATTGCTTGTTTGTGGAGCGATCCCTTGCCAGGAGCGCCTTGCCGTACGATCCCTGGCCAAGGGTCTTCACCACACGATACGTGTCGAGCTTCATATTGGTTGGTTGGTTGGTTGTTGTGGTCTGTGTCTCAAAGAGGAAAACGGTCGAGACTGAAAATTGAGCGACACGCGACACACAGAAATGTTGTAGATATCACGGCGCGATCAACAACAACATCATCGTCTGCACTCGCACTGGCGCACAGCACACTGAACAACCAACTGGCCTGGCGCGCATTGCAGACCGATCAACAAGCTTGTTGCACTGACCGTGCCACGCACGCTTGTCGCTGTCGTCCTTGGGTTAGCGTCGCCTTCGCTGTGGCGTGGCGTGCGGTGTTGGCGAGGGCAAAGGAGCGGGTGCAGAGCATTGTTGCAGAGGCCGCGGACGCGGGAAGCAGGATTGCCGCCATCATGTCGAGTCGGAAGAAGCAGCAGCGGGAGCGAAAGCAGCGGCAACAGCGGGAGGAGGCGGAGAGGGCGCGGCGGATGGTGTGGGTTGATCTCGAGATGAGCGGGCTCGACGTGTCGAGGGAGCGCATCCTGGAAATGGCCATGATCATCACGGACGCGGACCTGAACGTGGTTGCGTCGTCTGGGACCGTCGTGCTGCACCAGCCAGAGCACATCCTCGAGAGCATGGACGAGTGGAACACCACACACCACACGCAGTCCGGGCTTGTGGAGCGCGTGCGCCAGTCGAAGCTGCGGGAGTGGGATGTGGAGGACCAGATGCTCAAGCTGCTGCACGAGCACTGCCCGGAGAAGCGGTGCCCGCTGGCAGGAAGCAGCGTGCACGTGGATCGGCTGTTCCTCCTCAAGTACATGCCTCGCTTCACAGACTACCTTCACTACCGCATCATCGACGTCAGCTCTGTCCTGGAGCTGAGCAGGCGATGGAACAAGCCTGTGCTGGACTCCATGCCAGCAGGGCGGGACCGCCACCGCGCAGAGGACGACATCGTTGACACCATCGAGAAGCTCAAGCACTTCAAAGAGCACTTCTTCATCACCAAGTGACCCCGCCTGAGTCTGATCTGTCTCTTTGAGTGTGTGTCTGTGTGTGTGTGAGTGAATGTGTGTGTGTGAGTGAGTGAGTGAGTGAGTGTCTGTCTGTCTGTATGTATGTGCGTGTTGTTTTTGTTGTTTCATTGTTTGTTTGCTTGTCTGCCGGTGTACCTAGTCATTCCTGTTTCTATTGTGTTCCACTGTTCTTTCATGTGCTGCCTGTCTTGCAGTGTAAACCTGAAGTAAACCCCACCCCCGCTACCCCATTGTATCGACACTCAAGCACTGGGCCACCAAGCCATCACGCCATCACGGCTGGCTGGCTCATCATCTAACAAACCTGAGGAGGACATAACTCGCAGAAGAACAAAAACAAAACCCCAACCCCAAGAGCGAGAATTAGAAGAAACAGGTGGTGACACGCTCATAGTGGGTACAGTGGCATGCCAACGTCATGCGTTTGCTCCTCGCTTGCTTCGTGTCACTCGTGTCTCTTCCTGTCGCTTTTTTCTCTTCTTCCTCTCCTTCTTCCCCTTCTTCCCCTTCTTCCTCTTGTCACTGTTCCTCTTCTCGCTTTTCTCCTTCCCTCTCTTCTTGCTGCTTTTCGCTTTCCTACGTGGCTCTGCCTCCCCCTCCTCAGCACTCGCAGCACCAACCATCTCGCCTTCCTCCTCATCCTCTTCCTCGTCAGCACCATCAATCTCATCACCACCACCACCATCGACATGTGCCTCCTCCTCTTCCTCCTCCTCTTCCTCCTCCTCCTCCTCCACTGTCTCTCGCTGCCGCTGCTGTCGTTGACGTCGGGTGACACGTCCATCCGCCCGTGTCTCACCACCACCACCACCACCACCACCAGTGCTGTCATTATCACCCTCCTCCTCCTCATCCTCCTCCTCCTCCTCATCATCGTCACCATTCAACTCAACATCATTCGGCTGCATTTCCTCACCAGCACCACCGCCACTCA